ATTTCATCCTTATACTTAACCCTAACGATCGATGCAATAAAAATACAGGGTGTAATTTTTAACAGATTTTAGTTGGTTCGATTCCCGGGTGTAGCAAGCAATTTTTTGGAAATCTTTGAATGCAGTTCTATTTCTTTTTAAAAATAAAGGAATGTTTTATTTGAGAAAAATTTTCTATCTACAATATTAAGAGTACTTTCCCTCCAGGTGGCATTACAAAATTCCACCCTGTATTTTAAACCAGTGCGGTTTTAATTTTTTTGTAATAAGGCCTTATTTGCTCGTCCAGATGGACGTCATCTAAGGCTAGTATTTCTACCCATCCACACACTATTGCAATTACATGCTTTTTCTAAACTTGCACGTACCTAGTTTCTATACATTTTGCTTATTTCTTGCGCTCGAGACTACAAATACAAATACATATAAATAAATAAACAAAACAACGCTAAGGCTGAGTTGCACCAACTTAATTTTAAACATAACAATAACAATAACCGGTGATTTTTGTATGGACTTTGACAGATTTTTGACGTTTGTCAAAGTTAAAATAAGATGGTGCAACTCAGCCTAAGTATGCAGCGTTGCAAGCAATGTAAAGTACATACTTATGTTCTTTCACGAGACTGCGAATTACACCCAAAAAACAAAGAAAGAAATAATGACACGTGACGCAGTGTTTTATGTTCTTTTAACCACTACACGTAAAAATAAATAATGCATTCTCTCATCTGTAACATGTTATAAGTAGTTTATTTGCATTAGATTAGCATTCGTTTACAAAAAAAAATACTCTTTACATACAACTGAACACAATAACAACTCCCGCTTCCCTGTTTTCAATATTCGCTTACGTCAAAGCGTTTGCTAATGCATAACATTACGTTTGCGAAACGTATTTAATTCATTGCCGTGTAACAACAATATTAATACTAACACGTTTGTGTTGCTATTGTTTGAGAAGCACCGATGTATACTTATTTAGATTCAGTCACGAGTTCAGACAGTGCCTTTTATTGTTTACTAGCGCCCGCGCCGGCTTTGCACGGGTGCTAAGTATTCAATAAACCTTCCTCTTGAGTCACTCTATTTAAAAAAACTCATCAAAATCCGTTGCGTAGTTCTAAAGATTTAAGCATACATAGGGACAGACAACGGAACGCGACTTTGTTTTGTACTATGTAGTGAAGACTAACTAGCCTTTGCTCGCGGATCTACGCGAATGAGGGTTTTCGCGATTGAAAAATCCGCCAGATGGCAATACGTAGACGAGAGGTCCAAACGCTGCATGATTGGTTATTTTTGACATGACATTGACAGATATGTCAAAATCCACCAATCACGCAGCAGTCAGACCCCACATCCACGTCCCGCCATCTAGCGAATCTTTCATTCGCGAAAACCCTCATTGCGTCGTTTCGAAATGAGAATCTACAGTGTAGGTAGATATACCCAGACAGGAAAACCTCTTACCCTCAAAGTAACGTATGGTTAAAGTCACCGTAAGATTGTAAACTCCGTTAGGTTTTTTTTTTTTTTTTTTTTTTTTTTTATCCACAACGATAAAGCTCTTGGCCTGTATCTCACCTAACCTAACGTAGTCAGATTACATTACATACGGAAGAACTGGATGCGGGTAGCGCAGGACCAGTCATTGTGGAAATCCTTCGGGAAGGCCTTTGTCCAGCAGTGAGTATCATCAACACCTATGACCTCATAAAGGTAGCCAGAAGGCGCTGGATGCAGACCGCTACCAACCGGTCATTATAGGGAGGCCTATGTTCAGCAGTGGACTCTGGACCTCCTATGGCTGATATGATGATGATGATGATGATGAGAATCATTTGGCTGAATGAACGAACATACGGAAGAAGGCTACAATTTTACGGTGACAGATATATCGAATCATTCTTCGAATTTCTTTGGTGTAACCATTTTCAGTCGAAACCGTCAATGATTGTGCTCTTTGTATTCTACAAAAGCCAGTTTATTATGTGTAAGTCTTGACACTGGTATCATTTATCAGTGTAAATCCGTAGACATAATAATAGACATAGTAAACAAACAGCTATACCCTTAAACAGTGAGTCACCGTTCTTGGTCCATTGATTCGCCGGTCACGGCCATTGTCAGTGTCACGGCGATGGCTTTTCTAAACCTACGCACGCACGTAGTACTATTGGAGCTGTCTACCCAACCCTTATTTTCACCATTAGTTAGTTCCAGGTTCCAGAAGGCTTATCTACTATGAAATATGGATTCAGGCCTAGCTATATCTGTCGGTATTGTGTCTCTCTCTAGATACTTGATAAAATAGCTTTAGGATAAATTAATGTCGTAGGTACTGTTCGAGTTGTCTAGCCAACCCAAATTTTCACCATTCGTTCCAGAAGGCTTACCTACTATGAATTAATATGGTATCTGGTCTGGCTCTATTTTACGGTAGTGTGTTTCTTAACTTGAGAAAATAGCTTTAGGATAAATGAACGTAGTACCATTCGGACTATTTTTACCTAACTCCTATTTTTTCACCATTAGTTCTAGGCTTGCTATGGTTTCTGGCCTTGATTTGTCTGTCAGTATAGCGAGCGATTCGCATTATTCTAAGGCTTATACAGAGAACATTGTCCGATAAACGAGGGATCGCTAGTTTAGATGAAATCCCACAAGAAATTCTTGGACGCTTCTTTGAAATAGTTTTGTATTTATTTATTACACGCATACATTTCAGAGAGCAGTCTTTTCTAAACATTGTAGAGCCTCAGCTATTTAACCAAAGAAATTACGCATAATTTCAAGATCGACCTTGAACTGATTGCAGCGAACTTTTAATTTAAAAGTAGTATTCTGTTACGAAATACAAATAATTGACACATGCAATTACTTATAAACTTATTAAAACATATTTACTATTTGCTTACATAGGTATTCGGATGTCAACACGAGAGTTGTGTCAACTTAATGCATGTGTAATAGCGAATTATTTCGAAACGGCCGCATCTACGTGCGCGCAACGTGAATGAACGTCGTTATCTCTATTAGAACATCGTTAAGGAATACATAATAATGATAAGCACAAAATGACAAACATATTGACGTTTTTTTGTTAGCCTACAAAATGGACACGTTAAATAATACTAGGTAGAAATGTTGACTATTTTATGTTCAAAAGCAAAACATAAAGTACTTTTTGTGTGGAGCTCATTATATTAAATTTAATCTTAAGATGCTTCCACTTTTAGTGACAGCTTTGTATCAGTTAGAGAAGAGCCAAAGAGAACGGGCATACTGTGCTCAACCTTTACTTAAGAACTGCTAAACATCACTTATTACGTGTAATTTAAGTTTTTGATTGAAAAAGAGGCTGTAAAAGGTGATCGAGTTTCTTCAGCCACTCAGCCCATATGTTGTCCCAAAGTGGTGGTAGGGCAAGCTGTATTTGGGACGTGAGTATAAGTGTTTCCAGGGGGAAAGGGCATATTATGTACTGAAAAAACTATTTCATTTCATCCAATTGATGTAGGTTTTGCTACATTACAGGCTAATTCTCCCGATGAATGAGCACCTTAATAGGCACAACATCGTCGTATCCTATAACCAAGTATGTTGTTAGTACATCGTCTTTGGTTGCTACCCGATCGATATCAAAAAAGTTACTCCATAATTTCAGTTTCGTCCTTCACCTTCCTACTTATACATGGATATTACCGCTATGTTAATATTGAAACAAACCAAGGACAGCTTGGAAAACACTTTCTTACCTAAGTCTGTCGCCATAACAACAATGTTAACAGCATTGTTTTGTTCCGACAGTTAGAGGTAAGATAGCCAGTTCCTCCGTAGTTAAGGATTCCGGGTGAAGCTCGCTTCCACCTTCGGCCTGATCATCACTTACCATCAGGTGAGATACAGGCCAAGAGCTTCCTCATTGTGGATAAAAAAAACTAGGGCCCTTTTAACAACAAATAATTCACAGACATACGAGACACATGTTTGATGGTTATCGTCTCAGGGTTTTAGAAAAAGTATAATCTGTTTCAATAAAAAAAACGATGTGTGATGAATGAATGACGTGTGAACACAAAAAAAAATTTTCTATACAGAGAGGACAATCACCTCTCAAGAAAAAACTTAGAAACCGCATTAAATCTGTTGTCATTACTGTACAAGTTTTTAGCAACCACAGTCATTATACTTTTAATGGTGTTAAGTGTAAACCTTACAAAGTATGTTACCATCTAATGTGATGTTACTAAGCAATTTTACGACTACTTTACAACCATTGCAGGTCATTATTTCTAATTGATGCAACGGATCGTAACCTCGGGTATTTCAATAGACCTCCTGATAAATTGTAGATTTTTGGCTTATTTATTTATTCATAGGTACAGTTACAGTACATAGAATACCTTATTTACTTACCTACCTTCTAATGCTGGTTGCAGGCGCATTGTTCTCATTGTTACTGCAGTTTTCCATAGTTGTGTGCAGACTTCACTATGCAAAGACTGTGGGAAACTGCCGCCCGTATTCACAAACGATGCTTGCTTAAGTGACGTAACAAATCGAACGCACAGCGTCGAATAGAGCTCTGTGATTGGTTCGTGTGTCACCCTGTGCGTCCACGCGCACTGTGAGACCTCATAGTAACGTTTTTTAATACGTGCGTGCGTCAGTTATGCAAGCTAAGCTGAAGCCACTTAGCTCTTGGTCTGCAACTGGCTTAAAGCTGACCTAAGCTACGTATAATAGAGAGAGACAATAGCCCAAAGGTGTTAATATCCGAATCGAGATCCGAGGGTCTATAAGGCGTTCTTTCAAAAGTAATCTTATAAATCCTTTGAAAAGAGGCTGACAAATGTGAATAAATTCTTGCGCTGCTTCTTTTCAGTACTAGCCTTTATTGTCCCGAAGCAGTGGTAGGGTAAAATTAATATTGGCACGTTAAAAAGCGGTTTGCAAAAAGAAAAATAAGTTTAAATTTTTGTTTATTGTTACAGGCGTCAGCTGCTGTGTGTCGTCAACAGTGCGGTACTGGCACGCCAGTTGGTGGGGGGCGCCAGTCAGAGAGCTGCACAGTACCTTGTGGGGCACGCTCGCAGAGATCTTCTCTTCGAAGCACTTGGACTTCACACTGTAAGTGATCCACTGTCTCTACCATGTGACGTCAACAGTTCGCCAGTTTGTGGGGGGCGCCAGTCAGAGAGCTGCACAGTACCTTGTGGGGCACGCTCGCAGAGATCTTCTCTTCGGGGCACCTGGACTTCACGCTGTAAGTGATCCACTGACTCTACCTTGTGACGTCAACAGTTCGCCAGTTGGTGGGGGGCGCCAGTCAGAGAGCTGCACAGTACCTTGTGGGGCACGCTCGCAGAGATCTTCTCTTCGGGGCACCTGGACTTCACGCTGTAAGTGACCCACCAAGCATACTTTTGTAAATTACATAGAGGTGTGATACTGGCATGCTAGCTGGTAGTGTCAAATTCCAGTCAAATTCTTATCTGATCAAATGACCAAAACTTCTCAGACCGTCAGTCTCTTAGTTACCCAAAATTCGTTAGTTCGTTTCAGCCGAAAGACGTCCACTGCTGGACAGAGGCTTCCCCTAAGGTTTTCCACAAAGACCGGTCCTGCGCCGCCCGTATCCAGGCACCTCCTACGACCTTCACCAGATCGTCGATCCGTCTAGTAGAAGGCCTGCCCACTCTACGTCGTCATTTGAGAACTTTTCTGCCCCAGCAGCCATCAGAAATCAACAAAATAAATTCCAGCTCTTATGTGTGTATCTACCTCTTAGAAATTTATAATTTTCTCTTTTGAAAAAAACATGGGCAGTAGGCTACCTTGATATTTGAAATAGCATGTAATTTATTTGTCTTAGAGTTAGTTCCCATTAGGCCTTCTATGTAATGTCACATGCCGGTGCGAATTATTAAATGGTATTTTGCCTTGCCTTTAAATATTATTATGCCTATGCCTAAATGTATGGTCTATACAATAAAAAATGGTTTTTCGCGCGATTATAGACATGTATCATACAGACATTAATTATTCTGATACACGTTAATTTTCCTCAAAGTTTAGGTACGAAGAAAACCAGAATTTTTACCCGTTTTGTTTTTCCGTTTAGACTTTTTTAGTGTACATTAATCATGAAACAATGTGGTTATGGTTTTACTAATCCACGTTAGGGAAAGCCCAATGGAAACACGTGGCGTGGTGAAGAATCACCGTAAGGGCAGTTCTTCTTTAGTGCTAATTAGATGTATCACGATCATCATCATCAACAGCCCTTTACAGTTCACTGCTGGACTATGAGCCTGCTCCCCATGCTTGGCAGGCGGGTTGGAGAACGCTGTTTAAAAGATAGATTTTTTCAGAGAGCACTGCTGGCCCAGTCTCTGTTTGATGTGTAATCAGTATCACGACCAACACAGTGCAATATTCGTATTCCAGTGGCCCAAAGTCATCTGGTAGTGGGCGTTGGGGCACGAAACGCAGTGTGAAAAACAAAGGTGACTAATAAATAATTAATCTTTTGTAAACAAATTACTAATATCCCTGTTAACCCCTCCAAGTAAGCTAATCCCAATCCCAACTAATATTATAAATGCGAAAGTAACTCTGTCTGTCTGTCTGTCTGTCTGTCTGTCTGTCTGTCTGTCTGTCTGTTACGCTTTCCCGCTTAAACCTCGCAACCGATTTTGATGAAATTTGGCATAGAGATAGTTTGAGTACCGGGAAAGAACATAGGATAGTTTTTATCCCGGTTTTTGAAACAGGGACGCGCGCGATAAAGTTTTTCTGTGACAGACAAAATTCCACGCGGGCGAAGCCGCGGGCGGAAAGCTAGTATGTATAATAAATGTTTATGTCACCTTCGCCGCCACAACGTAATTAATATTATGTTGTAAAAAAATTACTATAATATCTCTGATAACCCCTCCATCCAAGTTAGCTAAATACATTATGCTTATCGTCGTTCATATTGCAATTTGTTCAATGTCAAAAAATTTAAAAAAAAATATAAATTAAGGAGACTTTTATATTTATACTAGCGGCCGCCCGCGACTTCGTACGCGTGGACCTCGTTTTACTCCATTAGGGGTGGAGTTTCGTAAAATCAGCTCTTAGCATTTATAGCGCATACATTTTAAATTTCAACTCTCTTACTTTTTAAACACATAGGACTTTCATAATATAAACTTCCAACCCTCCTTTTATCTCCTTAGCCCCCGTGGTTGATTTCTAATGATACATTTTCAGTATATGTACCACCACCACCATTTCAGCCATAGGACGTCCACTGCTGAACATAGGCCTCCCCCAATGCTTTCCATGTTGATCGATTGGAAGCGGCCTGCGTCCAGCGCTTCCCTGCTACCTTTACGATGTCGGCGGTCCACCTTGTTGATGGAAGTCCCACGCTACGTTTTCCGGTACGCGGCCTCCATTCCAGAACCATTCTGTCCCATCGGCCATCAGTTCTGCGTACTATGTGCCCTGCCCATTGCCACTTCAGCTTGCTAATCCGTTGGGCTATGTCAGCGACTTTGGTTCGTTTACGGATCTCCTCATTTCTGATTCGATCTCGCAAAGAAACACCAAGTATAGCCCTCTCCATAGCACGCTGTGCAACTGAGCTTCTGTATACGGCCTATAGTGAGAGGCCACGTTTCCGAGCCGTAAGTTATCACTGGTAACACACATTGGTTATACACTCTAGTCTTCAGGCATTGAGGTATTTTGGACGAAAAGATGTTGCGTAGTTTCCCGAACGCTGCCCAGCCGAGTTGGATTCGACGACTGACCTCTTTCTCGAAATTGGACCTACCTGGATCGTTTGTCCCAGGTAGACAAACCTACTTGTCGACAATCTCGAGAATTGAGCTCCCAACTGAAACTGGGTAGGGCGCAACATGGACATTCGACATAAGCTTCGTTTTGTCCATGTTCGTCCTCAGGCCTACCTGTTGGGAAAATCGATTAAGGTCTTCGAGCATTGTGCCAAGATCTTCCAACGATTCTGCCATGACCACAATATCGTCGGCAAACCGATGTGTACACAGTACCACAGTGTACCGAACAGTATATGATGTACACCTCCACAATATCTAGAGATCATAGTGAGCATACATTTTAACTTTCAAGTCTCTTACTTTAAAAACCGAGGACTGCAATACAAACTTCTAACCCCCTTTTTAACTCCCATAAGGGTTGAATTTTGCAAAATTTCGTCTTAGTGACTACCTACGTTCTAAAAGGAGGTGTATTCCACTTTGATCACCTGGCTTTGATCAGCCAGGTGATCAAAGTGGACTTACAGCGACAATTTAGTGTCCTTTGAATTTATTCTGTGCCTTTGATCACCCACGGATACGATGTCCTGGGTGAGCCAAGTGGACTCTAGTTAAATTATTATTTTAGTGTCCTTTGATCATCTACAAACAAATCACACCTCCTCTGAATAGTCACATGTCCAATTGTTGTACTACATATTTTGTTTTGTAACATTTTTGATATTTTCTAAAAACCGCAATAAACAAATTGGACATGTATGTGACAATTCAGAGGTATGATTTATTTATAGGTGATCAAAGAACACTAAAAAAATAATTTAACTGGAGTCCACTTTGATCATCTTGGTGATCAAAGCCAGGTGGAATAGACCATTAACCCCTGAGAACTCTTTTGAGACTTGTAGTTTCTGAGACTTCGTGATGAGTGAGTGAGTCACTTAGTCATTCAATGACCTTTCTTTCTACTAAAATTATACGTACCTATAGTAATTATCATTAAAATCAAATAAGTAAGTACCTACCAACCTAAGTAATTAAAATAAAGACCCTACCAAAAAATTAACAAATTACATACAGAAAATAAAAACGAAGTAATTCTTATCCTATTTAACTACAATCGCCCACGCGCCCATCCCATTTGTCCGCCGCTGAACCGTACCCTAATATTCATCTCGGTAGATGGCGGCACATAGTAAGAATTTGCAAGGAAGTTTGTAAAAAGTCACTAATTAACACTTTGATTTGCTCGTTTAAACACAGTGAATGATTCAAATAGGTACATACAGTGAATGGTTCAGTTACATAAAATATCTTTATTTATTAAATTTTCAATATTATTTACGAACAGCGCTATTCATAGTACATGTAATATTTAGTTACTAATTTACTAATGATGTCGATAGATGGCGTTTGACAGCTTTGCCTTCATGAATATTTACGTACCTCAAAAATTTTTGTCAGGCGCAAGAAGATTTTAACCAATGACGATAGATGGCGCTTTTCCACGTCTTATGAAAATCCCAAATATTTTACGGGACCCTATTTTTTTCCAAAATAAAATTTAGCCTATGTTACTCGTGAGTTATGTAGCTTTCGAATGGTGAAAGAATTTTTAAAATCGGTCCAGTAGTTTTTGAGCCTATCCATTACAACTAAACAAACAAACAAACAAACAAACAAACAAACAAACAAACAAAGTTTTCCTCTTTATAATATTAGTGTAGATTAAAAAGAACAAACTGCTTAGGAAACATTAGTTAAAAACATTTTGGTGTCTTAAAAGATTTTTTTCCCGTAAGTACGCTGTTTTTTACGCTCCTGTAAACTTGTAATTTTTCACATAGAACAAATTGCAATATGAACGACGTTATGTCACCTTCACCACCACAACATTCGACGGGGACCGAACTAGCGTTCCTCGAATTCCTTTCAGGGCTAGTATCACATTTGGAAATTCAACTATTTTTTTCTTATTTTTTTTAATTTTAAATAACCATAACATTCGAACTCCCACGACATGGGGCGTCATTCGTTTATGCAATAAAAAATCAGTTATCACAAATAGCTCAGCTATCTAAGTGGCCATAAATGACACAGTGCAAATGAGGACCAGCTCTATAAAATTAAGTATTTGCATTTAAAGTCATTGTCCCGTTTTTGGTGCACACGAAATGAAAAATCTTTGCTGTGTCTATTAAGGGTTAAAGTAAGTATGGTAATAATACCTGAATGTGATAAATGAAGTCATTATAAATATTATGCATGTAATTTTTTTACGTCTTCATTACCCCTAACAAGTCCATTGCTCTCGTACATAACTTCTTATACCCTTGTCCA